TACCTGAATACCAGCCCCCAGTAGCCCCGCTGTCTAATGGAGATGTACCCTATGTTAATTAAACATACTCAACACGTGTCCCCATGAAAACCCACGGCAACAAAGTGGTGTGATTTTCTCTATTATCATTCCACAGCTCCTTTCTGTGTGAGGCTGATTAATGCACACTCACTCTCTGGATTACTGAAGCACAAGTGGTTTGAAAGAGATAGAAGGGGGGAGAGGGAGACGGAGAACGAGGAAGAGGAGGGAGAAAGTTGAGAGAAAGACAATAGAGGGGAGCTGAATAGAGAGGAGAGAGAAGGAGAGAGGAGAAGAGAAGGAGAGATGAGAGAGAACGAGAGAGGAGAGAGAACGAGAGAAGAGAGCAGAGAGATCCGAGAGGAGAGAGACGAGAAGGGAGATAGAAACGGAGAGAGGGAGAGAGAGAGATCGAGGAGAGAGAGAAGGAGAGAGAAGGAGAGAGGAGAGAGGAGAGAAGGAGAGAGAGAAGGAGAGAGAGAAGGAGAGAGGAGAAGGAGGCGAGAGAGAGAAGAGAGAGATACGACGATAGAAGCGAGTAGAGAGGAGAGGCGAGAGAGAAAGCGAGGAGAGGAGAAGGAGAAGAGGCGAGATGGAAGCAGAGAGAGGAGAGAGAATGAGGAGGAGAGAGAAGGAGAGCGGAGAGAAGGAGAGAGGAGAGAAGGAGAGAGGAGAAGAGAAGGAGAGAGGAGAGAGAAGGAGTGAGATGGAGAGGAGAGAAGAGAGGAGAGAAAAAGTAAAAGGGGGTACAGGGAGAACAGTGGGAGGGAGGCTCTCTTCACAGAACAGCTCTCCTTCCACCAGGATGTTCTGGACCCCCTTAAAACAAGGTGGCCTCCTTCAACATCCCAGTGCCATGGTACACTCCTGAGCTGCGCGCCATGAAAGCCACAGGACGACAACTAGAACGGCTCTACAAATGGACAGGGCTCATTATCCATAAGGAGGCCTAGAAAGACCACATTCACAACTGCAAGGACTCACTTGCCACAACCAAATCTGCCTATTTCTCCAACATCATAAGGGATTAACAAGGAAACCCAAGAGTGCTCTTCTGAACCATCAACAAACTTCTCTGCCCATTGGACAACCCCTCTCTCACAATCACCACCGACCTCTGTGACAGTTTTCATGCCTCCTTTCAAAACAAAGTGGAGGCTATCTACCAACAGCTGCAACAGTCTCACTCTTCATGTGCTCCCTTGACCCCATGCCTACTGCCTTAGTTAAGGCATGCCTCCCTGTTCTCTGCCCCCTGGTGGTCAACATTGTAAATGCATCCCTCACATCTGGCATTGTTCCTACTCCTTTGAAAACAGAGGCTATAACTCCCATACTGAAGACACTGGGCCTGGACCCTGAGATCCTCACCAACTACAGGACTATCTCAAAACTCCCCTTCCTCGCCAAAGTGTTTAGCATCACAAATCCAACAACACATGGCATCTCATGAACTTTTCAAACCCCTCTAGTCTGGCTTCCGGGCTATGCATAGCACTCAAACTGCCTTGGTAAAAGTAGTGAAGGACCTCTTCTGTGCTGCTGATGCTGGGAACATCTCCATCCTCATCCTCCAGAACCGGTCTGCAGCATTTGACACTGTCATCAGATTTTAACTGACCGCATGGAGAGGGTTCTTGGAGTTTCCGGAACATCCCTTGCTTGGTTCCACTCCGATCTATCTGATAGACAACCGTTTGTCTCCCTTGGCAACTGCATGTCTTCCCCAGCCCCTGTATCACAAGGTGTCCCACAAGGTGTCCCACAAGGCTCAGTGTTAGGTCCATTACTGTTTAGTATTTACATGCTACCCCTTGGTAAAATCCTCTGTCAATTTGGACTCAGATTTCACTGTTATGCAGATGACACACATGTACATCCACACTAAACTAAACTCCACTCTGCCACCCCCTTCTGTTGTTGACAGTCTGTGTAAAGTGAACATTTGGATGAGCAACAACTTTTTTTTAATGAAATGATGACAAAACAGAGACCATGCTCATGGGCCCCGACTCCCTCATCAAGAAACTGGGTCAACTCAACGTGATGATCGACGGCTGCACCCTCACTCCAACACAGTCCATTCTAATGGGCCTCTGTATCAATGTTTATACCTTCCCAATGAAGTGGCTCAGCGGTGGGTGTTTGGCATGCATTTGAAGTCATACATGTGTTTTTTGTGTATGCATGTGTGTGAAAGTGTGCACGCACACATGTACGTACAGTAGGGCTTTAAAAGCCATATTAAACATAGCTAACAGCACTGATCCGCTCCCTCGCTGTGGGGTTCTATGCTCCAATCAGAGTGCTGGAATGTGGCGGTCATTCTAAGCTTTTTCATGACACAGTGAAATAGCTCATAAAGAAAACCTTTAGTCTGGAAATGTGTGATTTAACAACATGTTGCAAAGTAAGGGTTTCGCTCACATACTGTAGTGTACCGCCAGAGGCATGCAGCACATTACCTTCAGTAGCCTTCCAGGGGAAATTAATTCCAGACATACATTGGGAATGTAGGTACAGGTCACTTTCCTATACGTGTGTTTTTCTTTCCTTAAACACTAACACATGGTTGTGTTAACATTTTTGCACAGACAAATGCATAAAAATTATCCATTGTGTAGTATTATGTACAACAGTACTCATAAACTTACACTATGGTGTCCGCTGTCTTATTAATACACAAAACTGTTTAGTTAAAATGGGTGGACAGAGGGTGAAGGAGAGAGAGAGAACAGGGGGACAGAGGGTGAAGGAGAGTGAGAACAGGGGGACAGAGGGTGAAGGAGAGAGAACAGGGGGACAGAGGGTGAAGGAGAGAGAACGGGGACAGAGTGTGAAGGAGAGAGAGAACAGGGGGACAGAGGGTGAAGGGAGAGAGAGAACAGGGGGACAGAGGGGTGAAGGAGAGAGAGAACAGGGGGACAGAGGGTGAAGGAGAGAGAACAGGGGGACAGAGGGTGAAGGAGAGAGAACGGGGACAGAGTGTGAAGGAGAGAGAGAACAGGGGGACAGAAAGTGAAGGAGAGAGAGAACATGGGGACAGAGGGTGAAGGAGAGAGAGAACATGGGGACAGAGGGTGAAGGAGAGAGAGAACATGGGGACAGAGGGTGAAGGAGAGAGAACAGGGGGACAGAGGGTGATGGAGTGAGAACAGGGGGACAGAGGGTGAAGGAGTGAGAGAACGGGGGGACAGGGTGTGAAGGAGAGAGAGAACAGGGGGACAGAGGGTGAAGGAGAGAGAACGGGGGGACAGAGGATGAAGGAGAGAATCGGACCAGATCCTAGTACCCCTGGCCTGCTGTGATTACAACATCCGCACTTCAGGCTCAACAGTATATTAAGCTAGTATTGCCCTTTTATTTATTTAACCCTTATTTTTTCAGTTAAGTTGACTGAGAACACATTCTCGTTTACAGCAACGCCCTGGGGAACAGTTATAGGGGAGAGGAGTGGGGATGAATGAGCCAATTGGAAGCTGGGGATGATTAGGTGGCCATGATGGTATGAGTGCCAGATTGGAAATTTAGCCAGGACACCAGGGTTAACACCCCTACTCTTACGATAAGTGCCATGGGATCTTTAGTGACCAGTCAGGACACCCGTTTAACGTCCATCCAAAAGAGGGCACCCTACAAAGGGCAATGTCCCCAATCACTCTCCTTGGGCATTGGGATATTTTTTTTTTAGACCAGAGGAAAGACTGCCTCCTGCTGGCCCTCCAACACCACTTCCAGCGGCATCTGGTCTCCCATTCAGGGACTGACCAGGACCAACCCTTCTTAGCTTCCGAGGCAAGCCAGCTGTGGGATGCAGGGTGGTATGATGCCCTCTTGTGGTGAAACATAATACATGCTCATCAGAACATTCAACATAAACTTACAATCCGTAGTTCGTAACATGACGAATTACATATTGGCCAAACATTGTCTAACAGGGAGTTCATGTTACCTACCAGTATCACTTCCCTATACACTCTGCAGTGTAATAAGGCGTAATCTGCAGGTTTGGAATTACACGACTCTGGGGTATCACACTGGGCTTTAATAAATCAATTCAATGGAAAGTATTTATCCTAGAGCAATTACTTACAATGTTAAGAAAAGGGTACTAGGACTTGATAATGTGATGCCAGAGTTAACATTACCAGAATGTGAAGGCCAGCTTTTCACACCTGGATCATGAAGACAACACCAGTCCTTGCTGCCAGTAGATGAGTGGCCAGCTAGACTGTGGGATAGAGCTGGGGGCTGAGGACATGGCCTGTGTTTAACAATCCCCATTTTGGCTGCGTTCACACAGGCTGCTCAATTTGATATTTTTAGACTAATTGGGCTTTTGACCAATCACATCAGCGCTGATCTGATTGGTCAGAAGACCAATTAGTGGAAAAATATCAGAATTGGGCTGGGTGTGTGAACACTGCCTACAGTGATAGCAGCTTTTCATGACCTGTAGTTTGGTGTTTCAAAAGAAGTGACAGTCAATTGTCAGTCTTTTTTTTTTATTGAGTAAAAATCAGACATGAACACGTGCAGACTAAAAACCAGTAACAAATTCACCACGATCCTAAAAAGGTTCTGAAATTAAGAGTCTGCATCCAGCTGTAAAAGGATATGGCCTGTTTCTAGAAAAGCCCAGTAGTCCTTTGCAATCTGTACAGAACACTGCTTTAGATCAAACAAATAGAAACCGGTAGTCACTTTCTTCAGTCCACTGTGCAAAAAGTATTGATGTCTGTCCTGAATTATTAGGTTGTTGTTGTACACACATTAATTCCTTCTTCCACTTCAGTCGCTTTTATAAATCAAAGCGTTGTCAATAAATCAGCAGTTTAAACCATCTTTACACTGTAAATATGTTCTCGCCAAGTCCAGCATTTACATGTAAACTAAAAAAGGTTTGAAAAGGAGGATTGTGGGAAAGCAGAACACAAAACTGGTATTAAGGAGTGGAGGTGACCCCTCCTGACCCTGGTTCAGCGGCGATGGTGTCCGTGCCCTGAGTGTCCACTGCTGCTGCTATGGCGTTTGCTCTTGTGGGTGCGCTCCCTTTCTCGGTCATACGACCTGGACCGCTCCCTCCTGTCTCCACGGTGATGTCCTCCCCCAGCCCCACCTCTCTCGTGCTTGTGCTTCTTGGCCGACGAGAGGTCCGACGTGCTGCGGTCTCTGTCCCGCTCCCTCCCTCTCTCCCGTCCCCTCTCCCCTTTGCTGGCAGAGCGCGACCTTGACCTCTTCCTCTTGTGAGCCCCTCCGCCGCTGCTGCTATGACGACTCGATGGCTTGGGGTCGATGTTGCCATGGTGGCCGGGCTTTGGCTTGAGGTGTGGAAGGAGGAGGGGGGAGGACGGATGGCGTCGGGGGTGAGGGGCTGCGACTGTGAGAACGACTGCGAGAACGAGAACTGTAGGTCCCAGAACGACTGCGCCGGCTGTTGTAACTGAAGAGAGAGTAAAGAGAAGTGTTAAGACTGGGGTCCAGCTGAATATTACTACATGCGAGTGTGACACTGGCTGTAAAATACTGTCTTAAACCTTACCGTAAGTACCGTAGTAAAGCATACATAATGAATTAAGTACTAAAGTCTTACTGTCTGCGTGGGGAGCGTGATCGCGAGCGAGTTCTGGAAAGGGATCCACTCCTACTCCTGCTGTTCCTCCCGATCTTAGCCTCCTTCCTCAGCCTGACAGAGAGAGACAGAAAGAAAGACATAAAGGTGGCATTTCCATTAGGGGTGTCCTGCTTAAAATTGGAAAATAAAACATTTTCTTACAGAACGAAAGGCCCTGCTATGTTTAAGAGTAGTTAAGAGTTGTGTGTGTGTGTGTTCCTCACCCGTTGTGTGGGCTTTTGGAGCCCTGGGCTCTGCTGTCTGGTTCTTTCTTTACAGGTTTGAGGGCCTGGGGGTTCGGAGATTTATCCTCTACCTTCACTACATTGGGGGAACCTGGGGAACACAACATGTCATTAGACCGGGTGTCCCCATTTAGAAGTGTAATATTGTTGTACTTAACACACAAAAAATATAAAAATATATCTTCAGACAGGTTGAACTATGAACCCAACATAATCAAAGTCCTTTTCTATCTGATGACTTGACTTGGGCAGGGCACTTGTTAAATGAGCAGCTATGGTAAGGTAAACACCGGGTTTAAATTAACAGCTATGGTAAACGCCGGGTTTAAATTAACAGCTATGGTAAACGCCGGGTTTAAATTAACAGCTATGGTAAACGCCGGGTTTAAATTAACAGCTATATTAAGGTAAACTCACAGGGTTTGGATCCGGGCGAGAAGCCTCCCAGGTTGGACAGAGCTGGGGTCCCATCAGGGTTCAGTCCTTTAGCCTTCAGCTTGGCCTCCTGCAGAGACATCTTCATCTTCTCTACCTCCTTCTCCAGGTGGTCATAGTCAGGCTGGCCGAGAGAGAGAGACTGTAAGAAGGTACGGTGTGTGGTGTATTGTGTTATACAGCAGGAGGATGTATGGATGAACAGTCATGGTTACAGCGTTGATAGAAGGTTTAGGGGGTGATTTGTACCTTCTTCCTGGTGTAGAGTTTGAGGGTGGTGATGCAGATATCCTTGATCTCCTCCTCTGTGGCTCCAAACAGCAGGTACCAGTGAGGTCTGGATGGGAGAGGCATCTACAGACACACAGCACTTAGTTAATGATGCTACAAATAGGGCCATTCAATAGGATGGGTAAGGAACACTGGTTAAGAGACTCATCCTATTACAGGAGAGATGGCGGGGGTCAGGGGAAGACTAGAGATGGCGGGGGTCAGGGGAAGACTAGAGATGGCGGGGGTCAGGGGAAGACTAGAGATGGCGGGGGTCAGGGGAAGACTAGAGATGGCGGGGGTCAGGGGAAGACTAGAGATGGTGGGGGTCAGGGGAAGACTAGAGATGGCGGGGGTCAGGGGAAGACTAGAGATGGGCGGGGGTCAGGGAAGACTAGAGATGGCGGGGGTCAGGGGAAGACTAGAGATGGCGGGGGGTCAGGGGAAGACTAGAGATGGTGGGGGTCAGGGGAAGACTAGAGATGGTGGGGGTCAGGGGAAGACTAGAGATGGTGGGGGTCAGGGGAAGACTAGAGATGGTGGGGGTCAGGGGAAGACTAGAGATGGTGGGGGTCAGGGGAAGACTAGAGATGGTGGGTGTCAGGGGAAGACTAGAGATGGTGGGGGTCAGGGGAAGACTAGAGATGGGGAGATTGGAACCTGCAGAGCTCTGGCAGCCAGGTAGATGCAGGCACAGGCGATAGTTTCAGCTTGGAACCTCACAAACACGTTGGTCCTCAGGCTGTCATTCATGTAGTTCCTACAAGACACAAGCAACATACAGAAACATAGCACCATCTCCCCACAGCCTCATGTCCCTCCCCAACATCACACTGAAACACTGGTCTGGGGAGTCACCAGCTGATCCCCTACAGCTACAGGTGGCGCAGGCTCGTTTCAGCTTGACCATTAGTTACTTGAACCGTGTGTTAGTGCTGGGATGAAACAAAAGCCTGCAGCTCTAGAGGACCACAGTTGGTGACCACGCCAATAAAGACAGTTATGCATCTGAAATAGTAATAGGCTAACGGTATGGGAGACTAGTTTAGCTTTGTCCTGCTACTCCCCTCTCAGGTGCATCCATGTTGGTGTTGTGCTGGACATGCAGCGTCACAGATGAAAAGCTTGTACACCGGACAGGACTGTGTAGATGGAGCTAGAGCCCACAGGTCCTTACCGTAACAATATGACGTCCAAAGAAATGAAAACTACTCAAGTCAGAGGTCCTGACTATTGAGACGTCTTTCTAAAGTGCGCATGCAAACTGAATGTGAATGCAGAGACGACCGAGGTGGAGGTGACCAGAGGTATACGGTCCCAGTCAAAAGTTGGGCACACACCTACTGATTCAAGGGGTTCTCTTTATTCTGACTATTTATCTACATTGTAGAACAATAGTGAAGACATCAAAACTATGAAATAACACATGGAATCATGTAGTAACCAAAAGGAAAGTGTTAAACAAATCAAAAAAATATTTTACATTTGAGATTCTTCAGAGTAGCCACCCTTTTCCTTGGTGACAGCTTTGCACACGCTTGGCATTCTCTCAACCAGCTTCATGAGGTAGTCACCTGGAATGTATTTCAATTAACAGGTGTGTGCCTTGTTAAAAGTTAATTTGTGGAATTTATTTCCTTCTTAATGCGTTTGAGCCAATCAGTTATGTTGTGACAAGGTAGGGGGGGTATACAGAAGATAGCCCTATTTGGTAAAATACCAAGTCCATATTATGGCAAGAACAGGTCAAATAAGCAAAGATAAATGACATGAAGGTCACTCAATCCGGAAAATGTTTCAAGTGCAGTCTCAAAACCCATCAACCGCTATGATGAAACTGGCTCTCATGAGGACCGCCACAGGAAAGGAATACCCAGAGTTACCTCTGCTGCAGAGGATAAGTTAATTAGAGTTACCAGCCTCAGAGAATGTAGCCCAAATAAATGCTTCACAGAGTTCAAGTCACAGACATCAACTGTTCAGAGGGGACAGTGTGAATCAGGCCTTCATGGTCAAATTGCTGCAAAGAAACCACTACTAAAGGACACAAATAAGAAGAGACTTGCTTGGGCCAAGAAACACAAGCAATAGACATTAGACCGGTGGAAATCTGTCCTTTGGGCTGATGAGTCCAAATTTGAAATTTTTGGTTCAAACCGCCATGTCTTTGGGAGACGCAGAGTAGGTGAACGGATTATCTCCGCATGTGTGGTTCTCACCTTAAAGCATGGAGGATGTGGTGTGATGGTGCTTTGCTGGTGACACTGTCAGTTAATTATTTAGAATTCAAGGCCCACTTAACCAGCATGGCTACCACAGCATTCTGCAGCGATACGCCATCCCATCTGGTTTGCACTTAGTGGGACTATCATATGTTTTTCAACAGGACAATGACCGAAAACACACCTCCAGGCTGTGTAAGGGCTATTTGACCAAGAAGGAGAGTGATGGAGTGCTGCTTCAGATGACCTGGCCTCCACAATCCCCCGACCTCAACCCAATTGAGCTGGTTTAGGATGAGTTGGACCGCAGAGTGAAGGAAAAGCAGCCAACAAGTGCTCAGCATATGTGGGAACACCTTCAAGACCGTTGGAAAAGCATTCCAGGTGAAGCTGCTTGAGAGAATGCCAAGAGTGTGCAAAGCTGTCATCAAGGCAAAGGGTGGCTATTTTATTTGTTTAACACTTTTTTGGTTACTACATAAGTCCATGTGTTTTTTCATAGTTTTGATGTCTTCACTATTATTCTACAATGAAAAAAAATTGTCAAAATAAAGAAAAACCCTTGAATGAGTAGGTGTGTCCAAAAACGTTTGACTGGTACTGTACAGCAGCCCGTAGTAGAATGCAGCCATGGGCTATAGAGGCAACGACTCATCTCTTGGCTGAGAGGAGATGGAAGTTTCCCTTAACCACAGATCAAGGATCAGATTGGACAGGTCAGACTAGAGCTGTGGGATGAGATGGCATGCTGCACTCAACAGTTAAGATAGAAAAGCTGTTCTTTCAATATGTAAGGTAGCTTTCAACTTGAACTCTCCATCAAAAAGGACTGCACAATGCTGTCATGTAAGGTAACAGGGTTCAAGTTGTGTTTAAAGTTTAATTCTAAATTGCAGCTAGTTGGGAGTTTCAGTGACCCTGATAAGCTATAGCTCAGGCAAGTCATGGCAACATCTGACAGACAATGGACATTTCTGACTGATGGTTTTGGCGTCTAGCAAGCAGTCAGACAAACTGAAACAGAAAGATGAGGGGTGACAGAACAGAAGACTGCTGGTGCAACCCCTTTCCCACCCAAAGTGTCCCCTTCAGGATACAATGGATGCTGGGGATGATTTGCAAAACCTAGCTTTACTGACAAAACAAAAACTCTGAACACATTGAAATCTAAACTGGCCTTCTCTGAATAGTCTGAACACATTTAACCACTCCGAGCCAGTCCTGGAGTGTGATCCTTGTGTATGTGGGCTGTGAATTATATGATTTCAGATCAATTAGACAATATTCAGAAAACCAGCTCACACAGGGGTCCCCCAGAACAGGCTTCCCTAGACTTGCTGAGGGTTTGAACTTTGGACTTGTGGACTACTGATAAGACTACTGCAAAAAGTGGCCGGTGGATATTGATGGGTGGCGAGACAGGTCCTTGGAGACAAAGCCTGAGCAGGATCAGCCTGTAAGACATGTCTGGAGACCACGTCAGTTTGGGAAAATCAAATAGACAGTTCAACGGTACACTTTAACTACTGCATCAAAAAGGCATACCCAGAAAACGGTTGAGTCAAAAAAATACTTCAGGATGGTTACTTCAAATCTAGAGCAAGTAAACTAGAAAAATGTTTAAGTAGAATGCAATAGTTCTCTAGAGCTATCTATAAAAAATATTTAAAAACTGCTTAACCTAGGAAGCAAAACCCCAAAAATACAAATCCTTTTGGACACCCCCCCAAGAGAAAACAAGATGACGTTGGCAGTTGGGAAAGGCCCGCCCCTTCAGTGAATCTCGGCAGAGAGCTCTCACTGGATTAACTGTCTCCGAGAAGGGCAGCCAGCCAATGGGGGCGCTTCCTGAGGCCATGTGGTTGGAGGAGCAGAGTTCAGAGGTTCTTTATGAGACTTACCAGCATGGACTACCCTTTAATCAAAGAGTAGAGAGAAAGGACAAAGTTAAACTGAGTTCCTTGGGCACCAGAATCATAGACTATAAATAGCCATGTAAGGACAAGAGGAAAACAAACAGCTCTCAATAAGACACTAATGAATCCATCAGAGAACAGAGGTTACAGAGGGGTGGAGGCAGACTGTAATACAGCAGGTGTTTGTGACGTAGGGCACTGGGTTAGTTAGGGAAGAGGTCATGAACTTACCAGGCGGTCTGGACCAGAGTCTGGTTCTTCTCACATTCCAGGACTTGCAGGTACATGACGATGATCTGGAAGAAGACCAGTTGACATTATGCAATAACCAACGCGGTTTCACAATCCCTAGGTGTGTGAGAATGAAAACCAACAGCCTGTACTGAGAACAGAATGTTCTAGAACACCATAACTACAGCTGTGTCATGTGAGTCACACAAACTATCACACCCTTAATTCAACAGCAGTGTTAGTATAGTCTGATAGCTAGGGCTAATGCTAGTGTTGACATAAATGTAGCTGTGACTTGAGCCAGAATAACACCGGCTGGATCTACAGTTGCACTGTATGTGTATTCTGAGAGATGTAACTGGGACTCACCTTGTGCGGATGCTTGACGTGCACGCAGAAGCCCAGCTCCTTCAGGATTCGCCGCTCAGCTTTGATCACTTGGTTTTTGGTATTAATGTAGTTCTGATCAAGAATCAATGAACTTGCACTCCTGCTTTACAAAAGAATGAAAATAACCAAAAATGTTTCCCCCCCCTCAAAAACAGAAAGAAAGCGCCCTTCTGCTTTCTTTGACTGGTTCTCTTTCCCCCTTCAACCAACTAAAAGCAACAGGCCCAAATGGTTTGTTTTTAGGGGGTTTAGTTGACTCCTGTGATTTCAGTGGAAGCTTTTGAGTTACTGTTCCATGCCTACCTCAAGTCACCATGCATCACAGCTTTGACAGAAATATCAACAGAAACATCACCAAACATTGTAAAAACCTAGACTACCCATTCAGTTCTTTACCCTTGTAATGTTGTATAATGAAAATAAAAAAGGCATGCAAAAATAGATTCTCAACTTAGGTGTCAGCTATCTGATTAAAACTACTACTGTCTAAAACAAAGAAAAGAACCAATTGACTGACTTCAGTCACATAGTCACCCAACTAAGAAGCCTTACAAGCAAAACATGCACTTTTCACCACGTTAAGGAAAGAAACTACTTAAGGTATGGCCTACATTTTTGATTACCTACAAAACATGTACTTAAAAACACTATGTAAGAAAATGGACCAACGAGACTGGAAATGTGAGTGGTGGCAAAAAAAAGACATTTTTGTCATCACCGTCTAGACTCATACATGTATTGGGTGTAAAAACAGATTTTAATGTATACTTTATTTAAACCAGGGAAGTCGCATTGAGATTGACATCTCTTTTTCAAGTGAACCCTGATTACAGAAACCTCTACACTAGGAAGTGTATAAAGGCCCCCATAATCTCTGTTAACCCAGAAAAAAACCTTGCACTAATGCAGCACGGATCTCACGATCCATTCAGTACTGGCAGATCTGTCCACACGCAGAATCTGCCTACGGGAGATGAAGGACCCCACAGCAGAAGTCATGCAAGTGTGGTAACATTCCTATCTGGTAGTCTGATATGACATGGTAGTAACATGACTGTAGCCATATGGTAGTCTGATATGACATGGTAGTAACATGACTGTAAGTCGCTTTGGATAAAAGCGTCTGCTAAATGGCATATTATTATTTATTATTATGACTGTAGCCATATGGTAGTCTGATATGACATGGTAGTAACATGACTGTAGCCATATGGTAGTCTGATATGACATGGTAGTAACATGACTGTAGCCATATGGTAGTCTGATATGACATGGTAGTAACATGACTGTAGCCATATGGTAGTCTGATATGACATGGTAGTAACATGACCGTGTAGCTAATACTTCGGGATGCCAGATCTGTCAGAACTAAATACATTTTCTAAATGAACAGTTACCAGAGCAAACATGACCAAAGTTGCTATTAAAACTTGCATTTTATGGCACTACTTTGTCTTTACAAAAACAAGGTCTGATTTACTAGTTTCCTGACTTCAGCGGTAGTCTAGACAGGATGACAAAAACAGGTGACATGGAAAACGCGTGCAGCTTCGGTTCATGTTTCTAAGCTATTACAGAAGCTGCAGTCACGCATCAGATGTAATAGGTATATCTACTCCAAAACCCTGACTTTGTTCAATTTAGCATACCATGGTCAATTTCAAGACAAACGGTTTCCTCCAAACAAAGCTTTCCTAAAAAGCAAGTGTCTGAAAAGCCCTGCTTATGTCCATCAATTAGAGGTGATGTATCTACATTAAAACTCTACCCATCCAGCTCTTAAAATGTATTAAATCTCCTCAATATTAAATCGAGATTTACATTTTTAGTCATTTAGCAGACGCTCTTATCCAGAGCGACTTACAGTTAGTGAGTGCATACATTTTTCATACTAGCCCCCCACCGTGGGAAACGAACCCACAACCCTGTCGTTGCAAGCGCAATGCACTACCAACTGAGCTTCAGGGGACTACTAGATAGTGAACTAATGCATGTGAACAATTGTGCAAATGTTCTAAGGGGAAAGAAAAAGGTGATATTTCTGTGAAAGCCATGAATGCCATTTGGTGAATGAGGGAGGTTGCTCTGTAGTACATCAAGTATGTAGTGTTTGAGCTACGTTACCAGATGGTCCGCAAACACCCAAAGCTTAGACTGAGACAAAGGAGTCCCCAAGGCTCCCAGCCTAGGACCTGCGGCCAACCTGTCCTCCCCGTTCCCAGTGCACCGCAGTGACTCACACCACGGGCGTCTCCCAGGGGAGGGGGGGGGTGACACCTCGCTCATGGTTGTCATGCCGACTGCTTCATCTCTACGTACCATTCCACATCACCCAGGCTTTGGTAAATGTAGCTGGTCGCTGTTAGTTGGTTGCAAGGGAAAAGAGAACCCAAGTTAATACCACAGCCTTAGAATTGGAACTGAACAGATTATTCTGGTCAAAGTCAAAGACACACTCGTCTAGCACAGTGTGTCTTGTCCTCTGGTGCCTAGTAGGTTTTTTTCTTGGCAATCAACAGTTATTTAGGTTAGAGGTGCTAATGTATCACCTTTCACTGATCTACTTGTCTATGTAGGTAGCTGTGAATATATTGCTGTAACTACCACTGCTCAGAGATGAGGAAACTGAAACGTTTTAGAGTATGGTTTAGAGTGCATGGATCAACAGAAGAGCATTTTTTTCCACATTCATACATCAGAGCAACATCATTCATGATACTTAAAACAGTTACTAATTAATATAATGCAAGATTAATACATTTGCATTTTTCACAAAATTATAAGACCAACAGAAACGATGGATAGTTTCTATATGGATGCTTACCTTTTGCCTCTATGACTCTGTTTTAAATGGTGAAAAACATTGATGACGTCTCTGAATCGTCGTGGCGCTTCCTCGATCTTGGAAGCCAAGTTGACACAGGCCATAGCAACAATCTAGGGACACAAGAATAAAAACGTTTACAGTATTTTATTTTACCTTTATTTAACTAGGCAAGTCAGTTAATAACAAATTATTATTTACAATGACTGCCTACACCGGCCAAACCCGGTGTGTAGTATGTAGTTAGCTAGCAAAACACTAACATTACTCTGAGGCTTTGCAATGATAACGTCACCTAAAATGATTAGCTAGCTAGCTGCAATGAGTATTGAATAGTTTCAAAACAGGCCTGGTTACGTGACACAAACCAGCTACGCTACTGTAAATCACAATATGGCCGCCAACGTAAACGTTCTCTACACACACCACCAGTGAGTGCCGTGGCCAAACTAGCTAATGTTCTATTTGCTAATTTGCCGAAACAGACACATTGGCTTACCTCAAAACTGTGTTTGACAAATGATTTCGAGTAGAAAAAACGATGAAAAAGAACTTGACCCGTAGCCATTGCCACCTGTAATGTAAAGAACAATAAATTAATTTGACAGTTCTATGTAACGTTATTTGTAATTCAACAATAGATATCCGCCATTTTGTTCTTGTCATCCCACGGCCACGGATGTTATCGTGCTAACTTTGTTAGCAAGCGCAGCACATTTAAATCAAAGACTTATTCAAATAAATTACATTTGTATAAAACTGATAATTGCGCTAAATAACATTGCTATTCATCTGATTCGAGAAATTGACCTGTCATTGACCAAGTTAGCCTACTAGATTATGCTAATAAATAAGTTAGTTAGCGAACTAGCTGTGATCTAACGTTAGCCGTTACTAGCTAGGCCTTGGCTTGGGTATTTCCCTTGTTTGGCCTTATTTTGACGGGTTATATAAACAAAGCTGCGAGTTATTAAACAACACCAACTATTTTACTCATGTTTTTCAGAAGTTGACGGTACTGGATGTTTATTTTGAATGTTTACCTGTGGCAAGCGTAGAAGAATACCAGCCGATTGAATTAGCTCGCAACCCAGGATACGGAGATCGGTCTCTGTGTGCAGGTCGAGGCCATCGAGCATAGACGGGGTTGGCTGAAGCCTTTCCTCTGGTATGAGAGAGTTGCTGATAGTGAGGTAAACTTCAGAGTAAACTCTGTCGCCGATAAGGATCCCATCATTGTTCGTGGATGTGTTGGGAGCAACGGAGAGGGGACCAGCGGCCATCTTCACTACAACGCGGCAGAGATAGCTTCAACGACGGAGAAAATGAAGGAGCCGAGCAAATCGACGACGTCAGCGCACTGTCGAACTACGAATAGTGTACATACGCGGGACTTTATGTGACAATAAATAAATAGTTCCAAGCAATCATACATTTAGCTGAAGTGCCTTACGTATTTTTTACACGATAGGCTATAATATTAGTAATATAATTGTGCATACATTTTGATCTATAATCACATGGGAATGGGTGATGCAAGGGACAATTAGCAAGCTTTTGGGAACTGTCTGGAATTTCCCAATGACGATGATTCTGAGAACTCTTTCTTTGTACAGCGTTTGAACATATCCATCCGCCCGTCATACACTGCAACAATATAGCACAAGGCAACAGGTGTGAGACATGCGTCCCCTTGCATGAGAGCAGTCAGACAGAAAAATGCTTCCGCCTCGCGCTCTCACCAGTGAATCCTGTTTGGTTCTTAGTGAATACCTATTGCTTCTCCATACTATGTAATGTATTCCCTGTGAATCTGGTTATGTTTATTCGTCCCCTGTTCATAGAAATTAGTTACTGAAGTCGCTTGCATTATTTTGACCACTAAATTAGTCACTGAAGTCGCTTGCAAGTTTTGACCACTAGATGCCACTGTTCCTGCTATACCGCCACACTTTAATCCATTTTGCTGGTCTCTTGTGTTTATTAAATAGATCACAACATTTCCTTTGCAACTTTGGGTAGAAAACCAATAGATTTAGCATGATGAAAATAAATGGTGTGGTCATCCTCAAAATTCAAGCCAGTCCTCCATGAAAGCAATTCAGTGTAAGTGTATTTAGCTGACTGAGTGCAGTCCGCCGTGGTGCAGACACCATCTAAAGTGAAAAGTATAGAGTAGACTACATCAGATCATAGCATACCTCCCTGCCAAGGCTGCTTCCCTCTCACGTCTCTTTCTTTCTTTCTTTCTCTCTCTCTCTCTCTCTCTCTCTCTCTCTCTCTGCTCTCTCTCTCTCTCTCTCTCTCTCTCCTCTCTCTCTCTCCTTCGCTCTCTCTCTCTCTCTCTCACTCATTCTCACACTCTCTCTCTCACATTCTTTCTCTCTCTATCTCTCTCTCAACATCTCTCTCTCATCTCCTCTCTCTCTCCCTCACTCATCTTTTCATCCCTCTCCTCTCTCTCTCTCTCTCACATCTCTCTCTTCTCTTTCTCTTCTCTCACTCAAACTCTTTCCTCTCTCTCTCTCTCCTAGTCTCTCTACATCTTTTCTCTTCTCTCACCATCTCTTCCTCTCTCCTCTCTCATGTCTCTCTCTCATGTCTTTTCTCTCGTTCTCTTCTCTCTCCTCTCCTCTCTCACCTCTTTCTCTCTCTTCTCACATCTCTTTCTCTCTCAAGTTCTCTTCTCTCTCACATTCACTTCTTGCTCTCCACAGTCTTTCTCCCCTCTAACAGTCTTCTACTCTCCCCTCTCTGTCTCTCTCTCAATCTTTCTCTCTCTCGCAATTTATATCTCTCTTCTTACTCGCCTCTCCAGTCGCTCTCCCTCTTCTCTCTCTCCCTCCTCTCCTCTCATCTCTTTTCTCTCTCTCACACCCTCTCTCACATCTCTTTCTCTCTCACGTCTCTTTCTCTCTCTCTCATAGCTCTTTCTCTCTCACTTCTCTTTCTCACGTCTCTCACGTCTCTCTCTCTCTCTCTCGCACACACACACACACACACGCACGCACGCACACACACACAGACAATAAGATTAGGTTGGGTAAACTGCATGCTGTTTTCAACTTTTCATTTCCATGCTTTATTGTTGGTTATGTGGAGTGTGAGTTGGCTGTAATGCTGTGTGGGTTCGTAGGTGGGTGGACAAGGTGCGTAGGTGGGTGGACAAGCATCTTCCCAATCTGCCTTTGTACTGCTTTCTATCTCTAGTAACATACAGGCAGAAATAAACAGATTGTTCATTCAACAGATTGACCTCATTGAACAGCTAAGTGGAGATAGAATGGTCCTCCATGCACATCCATTTAGCTGTCAGGGGTTGGCAGGTTCCTCACAGCTTCCGTCAGAAGACGCACAGGGTGTTCTCTCCTCTCAGCCAGAAGCAGTTAGAGAGGTGTTGTTTGTACCTACTATGGGAGATCTGTAATGTTGGTATTTAAGCCGCGACCACAGCAGAACAGAACAGACCTGTCTGGGCATGGTTTAAAGTATTTCTACTCGTATCAATTTTCTAAGTTCTCCTGCCGGTTTCGTCCTTACTTCTCTGTCATTTCCTGGATCTGATGTCTCGTAGAATCACAGGGGTATAGAAAAAGTATAGATTCATTGGAGAAAATCCATAATCATATGCAATGCCTCTGAGGTGTAGACGGCTACAATTTACTGATGCATGTAGTAGTTTCCAGGTGTTCCCCTGACAGACAGACTGTTTACCGTTACCAGTTGGTTGAATTTTCAGCCCATTTGTTCATTTATTGTTTTATTTATGAGTGTTTTGTATAATTAGTTGAGCTTCCAGTAAGTTATCTACTATAGTACTATAGGACTGCCCTATATCATAACTCTGTATATTAGAAGTCAATAGGTAACGCACAGAGGTTGGTCTGCCATTACATGATGAAAGTCAATCTGACAGCTTGACAGAAGGAAAGACAGGCATTTTGCTCTTCTAGCACAAGGCTTCTACGATGAGAGTTGGACACAGAATTCTCCAATCGTTTCTCACACATCAGCAATATTGGGCCCGGGGCCCCAATGTCACTGCTCTGGCAAAAACTAACAGAAGCAATACTATATAATTCTAACGCTAATGGTGACGCAGGATAGGGTAGTTATGATGTACAAACAGCAGAGGGCGACAGAGTACAGAAGATGGAGAGGTTTCTCAGTGAACGTGCAGCCTGGTCACCCCGTGACACAAATCAGTATTAGAAGTCCATCCATGGCTGAGGACGTCTGTAGATGACGTGGAAACCGGCCACTAGGGGCAACAGTGAGCGCTGTTCCCTTCAAGTAGGTTTCGGTTTTGCTAGGTTATGGATGAGGATGGTGTGCTAGGGTGTTATGGATGAGGATGGTGTGCTAGGGTGTTATGGATGAGGATGGTGTGCTAGGGTGTTATGGATGAGGATGGTGTGCTAGGGTGTTATGGATGAGGATGGTGTGCTAGGGTGTTATGGATGAGGATGGTGTTATGGATGAGGATTGTGTGCTAGGGTGTTACGGATGAGGATTGTGTGCTAGGGTGTTACGGATGAGGATGGTGTGCTAGGGTGTTACGGATGAGGATTGCGTGCTAGGGTGTTATGGATGAGGATTGTGTGTTAGGGTGTTACGGATGAGGATTGTGTGCTAGGGTGTTACAGATGAGGATTGTGTGTTAGGGTGTTACGGATGAGGATTGTGTGCTAGGGTGTTACGGATGAGGATTGTGTGCTAGGGTGTTACGGATGAGGATTGTGTGCTAGGGTGTTATGGATGAGGATTGTGTGCTAGGGTGTTATGGATGAGGATTGTGTGCTAGGGTGTTATGGATGAGGATGGTGTGCTAGGGTGTTACGGATGAGGATTGTGTGCTAGGGTGTTATGGATGAGGATTGTGTGCTAGGGTGTTACGGATGAGGATTGTGTGCTAGGGTGTTATGGATGAGGATGGTCGATGGGCGTAATCATCTGCCTCTGGTACAAAATGTTGCATGTTTGAATCCAGTGACAGAAAGTTGTTTTCGAGATTTTTGTTTTAAGCCTATCCCAAACCTTAACCCTTAGGGGATGGCAGATGGGTGTAAGCATCTGCCTCTGGTACAAAAGGTTGCATGTTTGAATCCAGTGACAGAAAGCTATTTTTGTTTTAAGCCTATCCAAAACCTTAACCCTTACCTTAACCATTAAGGGTTAATGCCTAACCTTAAGATTTGGGAGTTAATGCCTAAACTTAACCTTAAACACTTTGAAATTTGTCGTTTGGAACATCTAATTCTGACGTGAGACTGTGAGAGCTTGTTGGAATGTGAGGACAGCGCTGTGGGCATAGCACACACACACACACACACACACATGACACACACACACACACACACACACACACACACACACACACACACACACACACACACACACACACACACACACACATGACACACACGACACACACACACACACACGACACACACACACACACACACACGACACACACACACACGACACACACACACACACACACGACACACACACACACACACACACACACACACACACACCGGTTGTTTGTGTGTAGTGGGAACCCAGAGCGTTGACCTTGGATGGTAGCCCTGTGCTGGTCTGATGTTGTACAGCTGTGTGTGTTGTTTAGTGAGTGTTAGTTGTGTGTGTGTGTGTTTTTCTGTGTCTGGGAGCAATGTTCTGGCCTGACATTGTACAGCTGTGCATATTGTTTAATGGGCGGGTGTGTGGTTACTAAGGTTACACACTGCTGTATGAGTGGGTGACGTTGCATGGGTTGTGTACGTATGTGTGGTTGCTAAGGTCAATGCGTCTCAAACAGTGGTTGCCCTGTTATTAAGATACAGCAGCTGCTGTAGAGACGAGGAGCTTAGCTACACACAACAGGAGGTTTTCATCCAACAACATACACATGAACACAGCAACACACACGCACACAGCCACGCACACAACACACACACACTAATCCAAGAGACATACAGCCAAGAAGTTTATTATGCACTATTCACAATCACACACTCTTAAGCGACATGCTACACTGAGGTTTTATTGTCATTAACCAACACCTACACAACCTCACACACTTACAGCATCACCACGGTGAATACTGAGCATTCTTTCTCTGGTTGCCTGGGTGACACTGAGTGAAGGCTCATGGGACGGTAGAATTCCACAATGGCCACAAAGACGTAGGGGAGAAGCTGTTAGGGCCTCCCTGATGACGAACACGGGATTAGGCACACATCACTCCCTCACGTGTGTGTAGGCGGAATCAACACTCAACACACTTCAATTCCCTATTGACACATGTGCATGCCTGTTCTGCAATGATAATTACATATGAAAACACACACACAGACTTCTTCAACTGTGTTGA